AAAGCATGCTTCGTACTTTTTGCGGTCTACACGTGCGGTTTCTCGCAAGCGTCGTCATGCAGGCGAGATTTTCCAGCAAGTGAAGACGGCCGGTAACTTAGAACTTATGGCTTGCTAACTTGCAACCATGAACCAAAAATACAAGATCACGCGGGCAGGAGAGTAGCGCGTTAGGATCGCATTTAGGAAAAAAGTTTAACGATTTTGACATTAGCCGTTTGTTTACATTTCTTCGTTGTTTACAATTTGGTGGTGGCTTTTCTTTATTCTTTATTCTTTATTCTTTATTTAAAATTAGTACAATAAGACTTAGTCTTTTGAAGTACAACAGCAATATAAGTAACTAAACAGATTTAGAGGTAATATTAATACTATTAATGCTGGGAATAAAACAATAGATGTACAAACTAAAAATTATGGACTAGATAAAAACTTAAATATTAAGAAGGTTCATCAACTAGACGAGAAATATGTATGGAGGGAACTTTTAAAGTTGCTTTTGTTGAATTTGGTTTTAACAGCATGAGGAATAGAATTCCAAATACGAATAGCGTTAATGAAAAACAGTCTGGCAGAGTTTTTAAAGTTGTATGAGGGCAGAATTAAGTCAGAAGAACGTTCCGACTTTGGAAAAATAAGTTTGTCATACAGATAACGTGGGGTTCTCATATGTATAAGTTTATAGAGGAAAATGCAGTTCCTGGCTTTTAGGTAGTCTGAGATGTCACATCCCAGCAAAGAAGACCTCCAAGCGGATATATGGTCAAATTTCTGTAATCCATACACATACCGGGTAACATAATTAAATAGAACGTCAATTTTGTGAGCAGAATTAGAGTCAAGCTTACTATATACCAACTCAGAGTATGTAATTATCGGTAAGATTAATTGTAGGGCAAGTTTACGCCTAGTACTAACTGGAGTGAAAGATGCAGATTGCCTGAGGTATCTAAGGGTCCCATAAACTTTGTTTACAACAGAGTTAGTATGATCAACACAGCTAAGAGAGGAGTTGATGACAAATCCCAAATTAGTAACTTTACTGACCAGCTTTAAAGAACAATTGTTTAAACTGAGAGCTGGAATGATATCATAATTAAATTTTCTCTTATGCACGGGTAAAACATATGATTTCTTAGGATTTAGGCAGAGTCCGTTTTGACTGGCCCAGCGGGAGATAGAGTCTATATCATTGTTTAAATTAGCAGCAACCGTATCTATGTCATCAAAGGAACCAGATAAATAAAGCTGAATATCATCAGCATACGCATGCATTGTTGCAAAGTTACACGTTAAGAAAATGTCATTTACAAAGATACTAAATAGCAAAGGACCTAAGATAGATCCTTGGGGAACACCACATTTCAAGGACTTAATCTGCGAGGTTACAGACCCAATTTTCACTCGTTGAGACCGGCAATTTAAGTAGCTCTTCATGAGCGATAAAGCTGATTCACCAAAACCGAAATAAAATTCGAGCTTGGAGCAAAGCAATGAATGGTCAACTGAGTCAAATGCTTTTGAAAAATCAAGCAAACATAAAAGAGATAATTCTCCTTTGTCAAAAGAAAGTCTCAAGTCGTCCATAATTTTAATCATAGCAGTAGAGCATCCATGCCCCGCTCTGAACCCAGACTGAAGAGGAGACAAGAGATTATTTTCAGAAATGTGTGAGGAGATTTGTTCTGCCATCAGCGACTCAAACACTTTTGATAATGAGGGAAGAACACTAATAGGACGGAAATCACTGGGTGAACAAGCAAGT